TTATATATCTTTTCATTTAAGAAAGCAAATTTAAAATTAAAATGAATAATAATAAATTAAATTAATTTTATTTTGTTAAATTAGAACAAAAAAATTATCGTATTTTTTTAATATATATTTGAAATAGACTTTTTTTTTAAAATATCATTGTTTCTCTTAATTTTTTAAAATTTATTTTCAAAATTTTTTTTTAAGGGGGCCCTTAATCATTGGGGGCCCATGGCCTAGTTTGGCCAAATGGGTAATCCGGACAATTAGAATAGTTATAAGTAGGATAATTTCAATAGAATAATTACCATATATTTTAAGAAATATTTTAAAAATCTTATTTAGTCCAATCCTGGCGAAAAACAGTTCATGGGGCAAACATAAAGATAGACATTTCACTCATTTTTTTTTTTTTTTTTTTAAATAATTTCTTGCAATATTTGATGCATTTGAAACTGGTTTCCTATTTAAATATTCAAACATTCTGAATTCCCCTTTATATGTTTAGAAATATTTAAAAAAATTAAAAAAAAATCTTATTTAGTTCAATCTTGGCTAAGGGCAGAGCATATAAATAGCAAATATTAGAATAACTACTCAGCGAATTTTATATAATTTATTGCAGCATGGGATTCATTCGAAACTGATTTCATATTGAAATGTGGGCTTCATACATTCCAAAAAAATTCCATATTGGTTTAGAAATATTTATCTAAATCTAAAAAAAAAAAACAAATCAATATAGTCCTATCTCGGTGAAGTATAGTGCATTTTTAAAGCAAATTTTAGAAGAAAAACTGCGTTTTTTTTTTAAATAATTTTTTCTAACGTGGAATTCCCTTGAAATATTAGTTTTATACATTCTAAAAGCACCCACATATATTTAGAAATGTACAAAAATTATTATTGAAATCTTATTTAGTTCAATAATCGTTAAAAGCAGTGTAATTAGTGTAAAAGCAGTGTAGCGCCAACATTAGAGCGTATTTAATTGTAACATAATAAAAATCCTAAAATAACACTACGTAATACATTCCGTAAATTTTTTATACAAATTTTAACAACGAGATTCATTTAAATCTGCTTTCATATTGCTGCATGGCTGACATACTTTTTGAATGGACAGACTTTCCATCAGGAAACATTTTTTAATTTAAATTTTATTTTGCCCAAGACACACTAGGTCAAGATAATATATAGTACACTGTTATAGGAATTGATTTTTTTAAAAATTTTTTTATAAATTATTTGCTTTACTGTATTCATTTGATTCTGGATTGGATCTGGGTGTTATATGATTTGAAAATACCCATAAATTTTCAGAACATTTACATAACGTTTACATAAGAGAAGATATTTTGCAAGTTTTTAGATAAAAATTTATTTATATATTTAGTTTTTGCTTTCATTTATTTGATTCTGGTTTCATATTAAGATGTGGATGTCATATTTTTTTAATTACCCATATTGTTTTTGAAATGCTAATTATTATTTTTTATTCATTGATTTAAGAACTCAACACGATATTAAACAAATAACATCAATAAAGCAAGTGTGGGGGTATTTAAAAATGATTAGAATGCGAATATTTTTTCATTCAAATTAAGAGTATTAAAATGGATCTTTAAAGGAGTTAGGAGTTCGCGATTAGAGCAAAAATATAAAATTTGAAGTCAAAAAATTAAAATATTGAAATTTCAAATTTAGTATGTAGTGGGGTAATTTCTTAAATGAAAGTGATTTTATGTTTTTGGCCAGAAACCCAAAATGAAACGTTTGTATTTTCAAATTCAGAAAATTATCAACAAAAAAAAAGAAAGAAAAAAAGAGAAAGAAAAGGAAAATCTAGACAAAAAGAACAACGATCAATCATTATAGTATGAGTTTAAATAGAAAGTGCTGTTTTCTTTAATAACAGTTTTAGTCCTAATTTCTTGTAAAAATTTGACAGATTTATATAATCTAATTGACCATTGCCATAGATACCGTAGATCAGTATCTATAATATTTGAGTTGTAGTGCTGATTACTATTTTACTCTTTTATCATAACAAAACATGTTAGTTCTTAGAATGTGTTTTTCTTAAGCTTTTTTTCTTCTCATTTTTTGTTTGTTTTTGAAATCCATTATTAATTTCCTTTTTTTTTTCCACACAGCACATCAACACAGTAACATAATTTATCAGTTGAATACAAGGAAGGAAAAGATCGCTAAGACGCAGCAAAAAGTATTTGTTCGTTATTTTTTAAAGCGTTTAATAGTTCCAAAAATGCCTGTATGTGCATTATAAAATGTAATTCGCTCCATATTTTAAATAAATACTTAAATATTTTACTTACGTTTTTGGAACGTTAAAAAAATATATTAATTACGACAAAATTTTTTTTGATTGAATGGAATTGTTTTATTTTTAAGATATCATTGCACTTTTTAAAAATATATTTCGAACACGTTGGAAACGTTTCCAGGAAATATTCAAGACGTTTTGCTGGAAACGTTTCCAGAAAATATTCAAGACGTTTTGTGCTCTGTAGAGACACGAGTTTAAGTTTGTGCCACCAACCAATGTATATTTTAAAATTTCGTTATTATTTTTTCTTTAAAAAATAAAGAAAACAATGTTTTGCTCAGTTAAAAAATCGCTCATTAATGGTACACTCTAAGCAAAATTGGTTCAAATTTGAACTCTAGTATCAGTACACTGTTAGAATTTTCATTCTGAAATTACGGTATAGTGACTGGCAGCAGTCTGCCGTAATTAACCGTAATCCAATTAACCGTAAAGCTTATGGTTATCAACATTTTTTACTTTTGCTGTTTCGTAATTATTTAAAACTAAGCATAGTTTCTCAACCGTCGAAATGAAATTTGATTGGACATTTGAGTTCAATGGGGTTTAATTAGCTTATATAGTGGTGCCATTCAGCGCAATGGAATAGGAAATACTAGACGTTTGCATTCAGCAAAGCAGCTCTGGTACTGCGATCTATGTGTATATGAGAGGTTCGTATTCTGATAGTCCAGAGTCACCATTACAAAGTGCAGGACACCGGAAACTCATCATTTGTTGAAGGATTGAGAGAAATATTGTGGGAAACGAACCCCCGTTTAGCTAGCCATTAGAATAACAGATTAGCTTTCTCAGCTATAATAAGCATACAGTTTCAAGGAACTAAGAGGCTTTATAAGATGTGCTTAGTTGACGCGGAAAAAACTCTGGTTGTTTAACCGTATTAAGCAAAAACAGAAAATAAACTTTTTTTCTCACAAACAATTTGACTATCATCTTTTTTGTAATTATTTAACTGTTTTGGTTGAGTATAGTAAAATAAAAACTAAATAAATCTATATATATATTTCTCTTACACGGCGACAAAAAAAGCCTCATTACAACTCCCCGAATGGCAACGCTGGGAAATTGACCAATGATTGCCGCTAAAAATGTCACATGCCAAATCTAGCTGAGATGGCTCAACATATAGCGCTTTTAAAAACGGAAACTGAAATAACAATTCAGCTGCGTCAATCTCATACTATTAAGCTAGGCAGAAGTGAGGAGTCTTTGACGATAGATCTCTATTTTAGTATTTTGTTGAAAGAGCTTTTTTCACGAATTTATATATTACGAATTTTTTTGACGATTTCTGATTCATATCACGAATTTATTTGTTTTATTATTGTTTTTAGTTATTCATTGAAAAATGAGTCTCAGTCGTGCTGTTACGCTTTTGAAATATAATCAAAAGAAGCGTGCTAGCCAAAATTTTAAACTTTTTAAAGAGATATCAGTTTCAAAAAATTTATCTTAAGATTTTATACTATAGCACATTTCTAATAGGTTTAACGAATTTTATTTGAATTCAAATTTATTTTAATGACTTTGTATTTACTAAAAAGATGTAATATTTTTATAAAAAAAAAGTTGTTATATGGATTTGAATTCTTAGAATTTTGTGCATTTGCAATGGATCGAAGTTAGCAGCGATTGAAGCGAGCTTGGTTTGCGAAGCAAACCATATAAGATTGCGTAGCAATTTTCGGGAGTTGGCGAGCGTTAGCGAGCAGGGGGCGCAGCCCACTATTTATTATTATTTCGAGAAATTTCTAACAGTGTACATTGAATCTCAATATCATGTAAATTTGCTGTAACTTTTCATTTAAACTATGTTTCCGTTAAAGTTGAACCATAGTATTGTGTAGTAAAGTATAAGAAGTGTGATGATATGGTTCAGCCTAGTGCCTTACATTGGTTACAACAACTTTGATTGATACTGTGGTTCAATTTGCTTAAGAATATTTTACACTACATGAAGGATGCCTATGCTGGCCCAACTTCATTTACCTAGGCCGGGATAGCCTGGTCGATGGGCTCATGTCGGAGAGTTCTTGGGTTCGAACCCCACCGGCCGAAGACTCCCCGTGTAGTAAAGTGACTGATGCACGTTAAATCTGTCGAGTCGCAAAAGTCCTCCATGTTCCCATAACAAATCAATACCTCTGGGGGTACTGGATTGGAGATTGATCGTTCTCTGATTCACGTCAAAATTACGAACTGTAGATGAATGAATGGATGTATCAATGGGTCCACCCTATAAACGAGTGTGAAGTATGGTGTGGCATAAGTCGAATTCTTGGCCATAGATGGCGCCACTGTAAAACAAGAACAATCGCACCCCCTGCCTAAACAGGCATAAGCCAACAACAACAACTTCATTTACCTACCAGCTGAAAATATATCAATGATCATCAATCTGCTACCAGAAGCATCCAATTGGAATGTGTTTCACTTCAAACTAAAATAATGTAAATTACTGGTTACACTACAATGTTACGGTAATTGAAAGCATGATGAAAGTGAAGAGTAACTGGGACATCAATGATATGATAGAGTGTTTCCTCCCTTCCTTGAAATAAATGCTTTTTTTAAAGAAGAGTAAGTCTATAAAAGAAAATGATATTTTAATGATAAAACTTTTAAAAATGTGATTAAAAACATCTAAAATACATGCAATAAACATTATTTTCATGTTGCGTTGTTTTGATGTTAAATTATGGTATTGTAAATAAAAAATTACAAATGTTTTTGCGGAACAACATCACGAAATATTTTAAACAAAGTACTTAAAGAAAACATTTTATCCTTTGAATTATTTTGTATTAGTCTATGTAATTACTTCCATAACGTCTAAAGAAGTATTCTCGGTATCTGTTATAAGCTTCATTTCTATTTGAATCTACTCCACGAGCAGGAACAACAGAAACTGGTCTACTTGGTACGAAATATCCTGGTCTTGAGTAATCGTTATTGATTCCGAAGTTATTTTCAAGGTATCGGGGATCTTCTTCTAATGGACCTTTATAGTTGTAAGCATCCCAGAATTGTTCCCAAATTGGATGATTCTGTGGGTAATGAGGATTGTTTGAAGAAAAAGTGTACAGTATCCGATCTTCATCATAAGGTCTTCTCCGAGGGTAACTGTCTTCATATTGTTGGTAATAGTGATTCATACCTGTTACTTGTCTTGAAAGTGAAGCTATCACAATAAGGAGTACAACTGTTACCTAGATAGAAAAAAATATTAATATATATGTTGTACTATACACTTAAAATTAATTAATAAATTAAAACTCATAATAATGAATAATGAAAATTAATAGTTAATGAAAAGAAACAAGCATTTCATTTGTTTGGCGCATAATTTGCAGTAGTTAAAATTAAGATTACTTTTACATAAAATACAATAAGTATTAAAATATTTTACACTAAGTATTAAAATTACAATATTATTATTTTACTACATATTATTATAAAATACATTATTATTAAATACATTACAATATTATTATAAAATACATTATTATTTTACAATAAGTATTAAGAAACGAAATTAGATATCGAAAAAGGGAATACAGTAAGTTGTAGGGAGAAACAATTCTGTTAAAATTACTATATTGTATGGTATGACATTTCTGGTAAAGAAAAACCCATAGATTTAAGAAAAACGAAATATATGGTAATTAAACTGGTCATTTGGTAATTTTTCCGTCCATATGGTAACGGTTTACCGCCAAATCTGGTTTTCTAAATTGTAGTTCTTATTACCACACATTTAGAAATAAAAACTAAAAACTGAATTTAACTAAATAAATGGTTTTTATGTCATGTTCTAAGGTATCATGATAAATTACCAAATTTTACCATATTACATATATTTACCACATTTTATTGTTAAATTTAAGAAAATAATCACCAAAGCACTTCGGTAAAAATTACCGAGCTTTTTGGTGTCCCCATAGATCCAGAAACACGGTAAATTTTACCATATTCTGGTAGTTTTGACCATACCTTTTTTCTCAGAGTGGGTCACTTTTCACATATTTTCGATAAATGAGCAATCATTTAAAAAAATGATTTGAAGAAGATAGAAATGTACGTTTGCTGAGCTACGCTTTAAAAACGAGGTATTTATTCTAACCAAATTTAAAACTCAGTTACAAAGTTCGTCAACATTTGTAAACTGAGAAAACTGTGAAACATTTTTAAAATAACCACAGTTTGCAGAAATTATAGTCTCAGAACAAAATTTACTGACTTATTGATGCCCATGTCAATATTTAAATTGAAATGACCTGACATGCAGTCAGAGGTGTCATCTGTTGACGTACTTCGCAAGTAATACTTAAACTTGGTTAGAATAAACTACTTAGTTTCCTTAGTGGAAAGCAGTAACCGCAGTTTACATGCAGGCAATAAAATGTTTCTTTAAAATGTGCTATTCTGTTATTTAACATAAACTTCCGTCTCTTCCGGGCTTCAGGGTTTTCGCTACTGGGTTTCTTAACTATATTTGCTCAATCGACAAATTATTATGCAAGCTGATTACTCTCTTCTTAAAATAGAAAATGCTTAAGAAAAAAAGGGCATTGTTTGTTTACATATATTCTAGTCTGATTTTAAATTAACAGCTGAATGAGAAAAAAGAATGCTTTGTTTCATGATAGCATTTATGAAGTTAAAAAAAAGAGTACTTATTTGCATTTATGTAAATTTTAATTCAAAAGAAACAATTCCTGTGTGTTTTTTAAACATTTCAGAATATTTCTTGAAAAAACGACGTTCAGCAATAAACAGTTAAATTTTTGGTTTTAAGTTTTAGAACTAGTCGAAAATTTAAAATATTTGTTATTATCTATTAATGATATTGACTAATTACACAGCGTAACAATTTTTTATTTATTTTTCTGTGGCATGAGCTTTTTCTAATTCAACTTAAATAATTTCGCATCTCTTATTTAAAATCTGCAATTGGTTTCTCTATCCAAGTTCCAGTTTCTTTAATTTTTCATACAGACTATTTAATTTTTTTAATTTTTTGATTTTTTACAGTTTTGTTAATTTTCCAATTTACAGTTTATTTGTAGAAATGCTACAGATCTATTTCACTGTTACTGTACTGATAGAATATTGTTTATGGGGCTGTTGTTTCAGTTAATTTTGTAACTGAATCATTTTTCCATTCCCACATGAAAGAAGAACTATTCCTTATTCCTCATTTTTAAGTTTAATTCTAATTTTTATGCTTTGGAAATTTTTAGCTTGTAGTAATAGTAAATTTTTTTTCATAATAGTACATAATTTTGAGTGTTTTTTTAAGTTATAAAATAACAATAGTAACAAAAACCAAAATCCAGAAACACAATTTTTGTAAATATAATATTCAATAACAAAATTATTAAACGCTGCATTTTTATTAATTTTCTATTCCAATCTTTTTTTTCTATTCCTTCATCAAAAAATAACTATGTATTACTCAAAAATCTATAACAATGGAGCAGTTTTTCTCTAGCATGATTTCTTTTAAAGTTACCAAAATAAAATAGTAACGGAAACACAAAAAATTAGAGATGCAGTTTTGAAAACGCAGTATTTAATAATAAAATAGAATAGCGCTGTATTTGTATTAATTTTTGTAATTATTTTTTTAAATTCCTCCTTCAAGGAAGAACTATTGATTACTCCTTAAAGCTTAATTCCATAACATTTAACATGTATGTTTTTTTTTGATTGAATAATTACTTCACATAATAATAAGTAATCAAATGACAATCTTAACACAGTGGCATAGAAATTTGTAAGTGCTTTTTCCTTTCTTTTTGTTTTCTCTTATCTTTTATGATTTTTGGCTTATATCTTTTGAAAAATGTTATAGAATGCATGAATTGTTTAACTATGCAATAATAAAATAATTTATTTTTGAAAAATTCACATTGTTGATCGCAATATAATATTAACAACTTCCTACCATTAGAGTGATTAAATATTTTATTTTCTTATGAATATTATTAATTTATGATCCTGAGATTATATGTCTTATTATTGTGAAATAAGATATAAGCCAACGTTCTCTATATCAAATGACAAATTATTTTACACCACATCACTTATTTCTATTTATTTACAATTTTTAAAATACTGCTTGTGGAGATTAGGAAATAATATCAGTAGAAATTTCTTGATGAATGAATGCTGTATTAATTAACTGTATTTCAGGAGGAAACAAAAAGAGTTAAATAATTTTCTTCTTTAAAGTTTCTTCTTTCTTAAGCTTAAAATAAATATACTGATATTTCCAAGTTAATTAATTTAATATTTTTATATTTTTTAAAGTAAGTTTTAAATAATATCTTCTGTGACATATTTTGTTATTAAATTTTCGGTATTTCCCAATTTACTTCTAAAAAGTCATTTAAAAATTATGCATTTCTATTATTAACTGCGCTGCAAGGAAAGAGAAGCACTCATTTAATATACAACCATGCAATGTATATTTTAAATTTTAAATTTTAGATTTTACAAATTTCGTTTCTGAAAATTTCGAATTACAAATTTCGTTTCTGAAAATTTCGAAATTCAAAGCTTTTTATAGATTGTTTTCATCCATATAAATATTATTTTACAAGACTTTATTTGAAGAAGATGGGTAATTCTTTAAAATTAGTTAAACTAATACTAAATATATAGTGTTCGTAAATATAAAATACTCTAATTGCAAGACATATCCTTAGAGTTATTATTCTGACAACCCAATGATTGAAGTTTTTTCAAAATCACTATGAGTTGAAAGTTTTTTAAACAATATAAACTAGGATTATTTATTCGAAAACTAATTATGGATAATTTTTTATATGAAGCTAAAAACCATTTGTTCAAATTATACATAACTTACTCACTCGCTATCCTTGTCAAAATATTTTATCAAAACATTCCAGAAAGATAGATCCTTCGAATTGTTATTTTAGCAACATAATGATTGAACGTTTTTTTTTTTTTACAAAACCTCTACTAAGATGAATATTTTTAATCTCTGTGAATATTCTTTTAATCTCTATGAATATTTTTTGAACAATGTATAAACTAGGATCACTTATTCGAAAATTGATTATGAATATTTTTTAACATGACGCTAGAAGCAGTTTCTTCAAATTATGCATAACTTACTCACTTGCTGTTCATGTCAAAATATTTTATCAACACTTTCAAGAAAGGTAGATCCTTCGAGTTCTTATTTTAGCAACATAATGATTTAAGATTTTTTGCAAAACTTCTAATAGTATGAATATTTTTAATCCCTATGAATATTTTTTGAACGATGTATAAACTAGGATCACTTATTCAAAAATTGATTATGAATATTTTTTTACATGAAGCTAGAAACAGTTTCTTCAAATTATGCTTAACTTACTCACTCGCTGTTCATGTCAAAATATTTTATCAACACTTTCACGAAAGATAGGTCTTTCGAGTTCTTATTGTAGCAACATAATGATTGAAGTTTTTTTTTGCAAAACTTCTGATAGTATGAATATTTTTTGAACAATGTATAAACTAGGGTCACTTATTCGAAAATTGATTATGAATATTTTTTAACATGACGCTAGAAGCAGTTTCTTCAAATTATGCATTACTTACTCACTTGCTGTTCATTTCAAAATATTTCATCAAAACTTTCTAGAAAGATAGATCCTTCGAGTTCTTATTTTAGAAACAAAATGATTGAATTTTTTTTCTTTAAAATTACTGCGAGTAGAAATTTAGGAATATTTCTTAAACAATATAAACTAGGATTATGTATTCGAAAACTAATTGTGGATACTTTTTATATGAAGCTAAAAGCAATTTCTTCAAATTATACATAACTTACTCAATCGCTGTCCATGTCAAAATATTTTATCAAAACATTCTAGAAAGATAGATCCTTCGAGTTCTTATTTTATTACCACAGTGATTGAAGTTTTTTTTTTCCAAAATCACTACGAGTAGAAATTCATGAATACTTTTTAAACAATATAAATTAGGATTATTTATTCGAAAACTAATTATGGGTACTTTTTATATGAAGGTAAAAACCATTTCTTCAAATTATACATAAGTTGTTCACTTACTGTTCGTGCGAAAATATTTTATTAACACTTTCAAGAAAGATATATCCTTTTAGTTATTATTTTATTACCACAATTATTGAAGTTTTTTTCTTCAAAATCAATAGGAGTAGAAATTTATGAATATTTTTTAAACAATATAAATTAGGATTACTCATTCGAAAGCTAATAAGGGATATTTTTTACATAAAGCCAAAAATTCAAGTTATCAATTCTTCAAACTATACATAACTTACCCATTTGCTGTCCATGTCAAAACGCTTTTTCAAATTATGTCTAAAAACCAGCTTTTTTCCCCAAAACCAACACAATGAGGAAACCACAGCACTCGCAATCCCTGATATAAGCACGCCTTTCCTCAAGATTGGTTTGTCCTTTCTACAAATTGAAGATCAAGGGTCGTGTATTGTAACAATGTCGTATAATGAGCTTAATGACATCTGCACAAACCATTCGAATCGATAAAGAATGAAAAAAAAAATTACAGTGTTTTGCATTTGGGACAGGAACTGGGCAAGGTGAAAAAAAAAAGGGAAACGATAGCTGTTTGTTTTCGTAGATTACTATTTCTGATGTACTCAATAAAAGTTTCGTAAAAGTACCATACGATCTCATGCCGCAACCACCTTCGGTAAATATGGATTTTTGGAATGCAATTCTTTAAGGTGGAGTTTGGCGACACTGACCCGAAGGTCGCCATATGTTTCAACAAAACAAAAGAAGTATTTTTAAAGACGAAAGCTGTATATTCCCGATAAAGGCATTGTAGAGTCATGGATCAGAAATTATTTCAAATTTTTGGCCAAGTATATTAAAAAACCATATTTTATTTTTAAACACTAATTCGACCCTTTGTCATACCTATTATTGCGCATTTTATTCTGATACTAGTCTGCAATGCAGCATGAAATATATGTTAGTTTAATCTTGATATTTAAAACAGATCATAATAAGAGTACACGGTAAAAATTGTTGGGTAGAGTTGCCACAATTTTTGGTGTTGAGGTAGACTAAAATTTTTTTTCAGTGCCTTTAGTCAAATTTTTTATTTACTTTTTCACTGTTATAGTCTTTTTTTAGTTATTTATTCATTTTTTGCTTGTTTGTTTACTAAAAACATATTTTCAGGCCCATTAGTATCAATTTTGGCTTTATTGCAAAAATATATCTCTAAAAAAGAAGCACATTTTTAGTAATATTCTTTCAAACTATTGTTATTTTGTCACATTTATAAAATTTTTTTAATAACTTATAATTTAGAAGATTACTTCAGTTCTGCACTTAAAAAAGTATCTAGTTTATTTCAACACCAAAAATAGCGGCAACTATACACCACAATTTTTAGTAGTGTGGGATCGTTTATAATATACCAAATTTAAACTACATTCATTAACGCAGCTAGAAAAAAATTTATGAGTTGAAATTTATAATTGTAGCTTTTAATATTCACACTTTTTAAAAACAAGGTATACACAAGAGTGAAATTTCAAGGAATAAACTACTTTTAAATCAAATTATTGAATAAAATCCATAAATTAATGTGTAGAAGAGAGGGATTAGCACTGTAAAAAACTCCTGATTAAATTACGGTAAAAATGTAAGAGAACAAAAAGTCTGATACTGCAATTTTTACAATAATAATTACCATAAAACCACATAGTCACTCTAATTTAATAAATATGTATTACTGTAAAAATTATGGTATAATTTTTAAGGTAAAATTGATTTTACCGGTAAAATTTATTTTACTGATGATGCACTCAAAGTGCCGGTATTTTATACCGTAATTTGATCTGAAATTTTTTACAGTGTAATATGGACTTAGTATTTACCACTTTTTGCTAAAAAAGGTTACTGATAATCGTTTTGAGCATAATTAGTGCTTTTTTCTTAAAATTAAAATTAGAATTCTTTTAATATTCATTTCGAACTATAACTAATTGTTACAATTTTTTGAAATATTTTTCGACTTCATGTTTTTTTTAATAATTAAAACTCTTTGCATTTTGGGATAATTTTAAAAATTGCACGCTTTATAATATTTGTTACACAATTCCCAAATCATGGTTCAGTTATTTGTCACGTCGAGCACTAGGAACATTTGCAAATTCTTTTTAATACTGTAAGATTGACGAGAGAAACTTTTGAATTGTTTTCAATTTCTCATTACACTGGAACAGTTTCTTAGGAATCAAATCTCTTTTCTGATCAAACAGTAATTAAATTAATTTTTGAGGAAGATTTCTGGAGGAGTTTGAATCCTCAAAATCCCTCTTAGCTGCGACACTGACTACATTACATTCCAAAGATTAGAAAATCATGTAGGTAAGTAGAACCAGAAGACAAACCAAGAAACAAAATTCACTTGTGAATAAAATAAAAAAAAGGTAAATCCGTAGATAGTGCAAAAAAAAAAAAAAAAAAAAAAAAATTGAATGTAGCATATATTACAGCTCTCCTCTTTTCTTCTTCTTTTTTTTTCTTTTTCTTCTATATATAGAAAGAACTAGTATATTTCTGCGAAAGTTTCAAAGAGGAGGTATTTTCAGATGAAATATCTATTATACTGCCTTTAACTTAAAATACATTATGTATTTAGGTTAAAGAAAAAAAAATGCTATAAGCTGACATTATAACAAAACTGAGAAATTGTAGACAACATCACTAAGGAACTATAAAGTTTTCTATGTGCACCCAGGAAAGGTGCAAAGTAAACATGAGAAATTTGACCATTCTTATCATCTTTTTTTATGTTTAAACATTCATTTCAAAACCAAGAAGAATCGAAATCAAGAAAAAATCGAAATCAAGAAAAAACCAAAATCAAGAAAAAATAAAAATCAAGGAAAAATTAAGAAGAAGTACCTGAACCCTGAGTGCCGGTACTTTTTACCGAAATTCTTTACAGTGTAAGAAGGTTTTACTCAGTTTGTACATTCTTAAGAATATTTAATAAAAATGCTAGTTTATAATTCAGATGAAAAGCTAAACAAATGACAAACGTTATAAATTATCAAATGTCAATTTGGAAAATGCAGTATGCTCATAATTTTATGTTAATGTTGCATTTTTAATTGATTGATAATTTGATTTTTGTAAAAAAGTGTGTCAATGCTTTCATATTTCCTGTACTTCTGGATCACGATCAGCATCATGAAATTCGGCAACTATTATTATTTATTTTTTCTCTGAGCTACTGATTTAAATCCATTTGGGTAACGCAAGCAAAATGTGAGCGAAATCGGCTGAATAGTTCTTGAGAAATCGAATTTTCAAAAAGTCCCATAGTTAGAATTCGATTTCCCAGGAACTATTCAACCAATTTGGATCAAATTTTGCATTTTGCAATGCAAAATTACATGCTTTAAAATTATGTAACAAATCTATACCTTACAATTCAAATTTTTTTTCGGTCATTATAAAGTAAAATAATAAAAAATAATAAGTATTTACTAAAAGTTATTTTTTGCGCTGAATTTTGGATCGCTCTCCTGACCGTATTTCCAGATTACAGTCTCTCTCTATATTTTGGGGGTTGGAAATTCGAATCCACATTAAAGAAAAAGGTATGTTTATTAAGAAAAGTACGTTTTTGTGTCTGATTTCGTGATTTAAAATATCATCAGTACTAATTAATTAACTTATCTGAGGTTACCCTCTCGAACCATTAAGATTGAGTCCTAGAGCATAAAGGTCAAAGACATAAGATCAAAAGTTATTCAGAGTGATCCGTTTTTGTTTTGGTACACTGGACATTGATTCACCATATTCAGTTTTTTTCTCCTTGAAAAAAAGAAGAGAAAAAATTAGGTTTTTATTATTGGTACAGAAAATTTCTTTTAAAAATATAACTCTGAATACGTAGGAAAAAGGTGGTTCATATGTTTCAAAATAATATTTAAAATAAAAATAAATAAAAATCAACTAAGTTTAGAGCTTGCAATAACCTGTCTCAACTGCCTACCGTATGAACAAAATGTAACTAATTTAATGAACTCAACGTAGTGTGATTAAAAAGAAAAAGCCAACAAAAACATGTTACGGTATTATTAAACATAGAAAACAGTCAATTTAGCCTCCAATTTTGAAACAAATAGATGTTTTAGAAAATAATTTATTTACANAAAAAAAAAAAAAAAAAAAAAATTGAATGTAGCATATATTACAGCTCTCCTCTTTTCTTCTTCTTTTTTTTTCTTTTTCTTCTATATATAGAAAGAACTAGTATATTTCTGCGAAAGTTTCAAAGAGGAGGTATTTTCAGATGAAATATCGATTATACTGCATTTAATTTAAAATACATTATATATTCAAGTTAAGGAGAAAAAAAATGTCATAAGCTGACATTATAACAAAACTGAGAAATTATAGACAATATCACTAAGGAACTACAGAGTTTTCTACGTGAGACCAGGAAAGGTACAAAGTAAACATGAGAAATTTGACCAATCTTATCATCATCTTTTTTATGTTTAAATATTTATTTAGCTGATGGGTATTACATCAAGTCATCAAGCCAAATTACATGATTTTTTCCCTCAGCTTATTGGAAGTAAAATAAAAATAAAAAATTTAAAAAAAAATGTAAAAATCAAAATAAAAAGCAAGAGAAATCAAAATCAAGAAAAAACCAAAATTAAAATCAAGAAAAAATCAAAATCAAAGTAAAATCAAGAAGAAGTACCGGCACCCTGAGTGCCGGTACTTTTTACCCAAATTTTTTACAGTGTAAGAAGGTTTTACTCAGTTTGTACGTTCTTAAGAACATTTAATAAAAAGGCTGGCTTATAATTTAGATAAAAATAAAAATCTAAACAAATGACAAACGTTATAAATTATCAAATGTCAATTTGAAAATTGTAGTATGTTTATAATTTTAGGTTAATGTTGCATTTTTAATTGATTGATAATTTGATTTTTGTAAAAAATGTGTCAACGCTCTCCTATTTCCTGTACTTCTTGATCACGATCAGCATCATGAAATTCGCCAACTATTATTATTTATTTTTTCTCTGAGCTACTGATTTAAATTCATTTGGGTAACGCAAGCAAAATGTGAGCGAAATCGGCTGAATAGTTCTTGAGAAATCAAATTTTAAAAAAGTAGCATAGTTAGAATTAGATTTTCCAGGAACTATTCAATCAATTTGGCTCAAATTTTGCATTTTGTTATGCAAAATTACATGCTTTAAAATGATGTAAAAATCTGTACCTTACAATTCAAAATTTTTTCGACCATTATAAAATAAAATAATAAAAAATAATAAGTATTTACTAAAAGTTATTTCTTGCACGGAATTATCATTGGACTAACAAATTTTATAATTGTGTGCAAAAATTTTTCAACTCACTTAAAAAGTTCTCGAGATATGGCGAAATAAGCAAAAAGTAAAATTAACGTTAAGGGGACCAAACTTTGGATCGCTCTCCTGATCAAACTATCGGGACCATATATTAGACTACGGCTTCTCTCTATATTTTGGGGGTTGGAAATCCGAATCCACAGCAAAGAAAGAAAAAAAGGCATGTTTATTAAGAAAAGTACGTTTTTGTGTCTTATTTCGTGACTTAAAATATCATCTGCACTAATTCATTTACATATTTGAGGTTAAACTCTCGAACCTCTTGATTAAGTCCTAGAACGTAAAGATCCCATCATTAGATCAAAAGTTATTCAGAGTGCTCCGTTTCTGTTTTGGTGCACTGGGCATTCACCATATTCAGCTTTTTTCTCCTTGAGAAAAAGAAGAGAAAAAATTAGGTTTTTATTATTGGTACGAAAAGCTTCTTTTAAAAATGTATCTCTGAATATGTAGGAAAAGGTGGAAAAGGTGTTTGAAAATAATATTTAAAATAAAAATCAACTAAGTTTAGAGCTTGCAATAACCAGCCTACTGTATCAACAAAATGTAACTAATTTAATGAACTCAACGTAGTGTGATTTAAAAAAAAACCTAACAAAAACATGTTACGGTACTATTAAACATAGAAAACAATCAATTTAGCCTCCAATTTTGAAACAAATAGATGTTTTCGAAAATAATTTATTTACATTTCTTAAATTAAAACAATTAACGGCACAACTAAACACAGAACATAAAGCTTCTGGGAAATCCCTGATTTATCCGGATGTTTGGCAGTTCTTTGACAAGGAATCAGCTTTATCTGTAAAAGAACAAAAATAGGAAATATTAACAGTTAATATTTCATTATTAATCATTTTGCGTCCACAAACAAAGAAAAAATAAATAATTATAACTAATTTTTGCTTTAATGATCGAATTTCACGACTAAAATTATATCTAAATAGTTTATCTTACTTATGCGAAATAATCAGTACATTCAATTGATGGTTACAAAAGCTGCCAAATTAAATTTAGAAAAATAATTCTGGTATAATTACCATGACGTATGATAATGATATTATTGGTATAAAAAAACCATGGTTCTAGTTATAAGAACCAAAATATACGAATAGAAAATTTATTTTCCAAACAATTACAGAACGTTTTTGCCCAAAAATAATTTAATACGAAAAATAATTTGTAATAATTATAAATTAATTATAAATTATAAGTTATTTTAATAACGATGCTTAGCACTGTAAAATATAATTTGCATGTATCTTTACATTAAAAATGGTGGCAACTCTTTAATTTCCCCACTGCTGTTCTTAAACACAAGTTATGTTCCTTTACAAAACTTGATGCAAGTAGCTACCACCATATTTTGGTATTCAGAAACACAATTATTTTAATTGTGTTTTTACGAGACATATTTTTACAGTTACTTTTACGAGAAATAGGAATCATTAATTTAGGATGCATACATGCATTAATTCTTAAAATAAAATTAGTTTGTAAATCAAATATACCCGTAGCACAGAAAGAATGTTAGGAAGAATTCGAACTAGGCTTAAGAGTACAGAAGTGGATAGTAATTATTCCTAGGTAATTTTAATGACGATGCTTCACATTGTAAAAATATTTTCGTGTATCTTTACACAAAAAATGGCGACAACTATTTATTTCACAAGTGTTGTTCTGAAGCACCAGTTACGTTTTTTCACTCAACTTGATGCAAAATAGCTGTCACCATATTTTGGTACTCAGAAACACAATAATTTTTAATTACCGTAAGATAAGATACACTTAAGAGTCAGTAAAGTTATTTTTACTAAGTATATTTTTACAGTTATTTTTACGAGAAATAAAAATCATTAATTTAGGATACATACATACACTAATTCTTAAAATAAAATTAATTCGTAAATCAAACATACGCGAAACGCAGGAAGAACATTAAGATGAATTCAAATTAGGCTTAACAGAATAGAAGCGAATAGTAATTATTCATTATAAAAGTATTTAATACAGTTTGCAGAGACTTAACATGAATATTCTTATTACATAGCTTAAAACATACATACAATGCGTAAGGGAGAACTTTTGTTTCCGTAGATATATAGCAGTGTGAAAAATATCGCTGATTTCACACCAACTTACCAGATTGAAAAAAAAATCTACAAACGAGACTAAACGTTTGCTGACATAGGTGTTCGGAAGTGAAAATATTTAACATATGGTGTGAATGCGCGTGACTTGGTGGAAATATTTTCCACTATAAAAGTTTTGGATTCCACTAAACCCTGTTGTATATGAAAGCTCAATTTGGTGGTAACTTGAAAAGTCTTTGTTCACAAAATTTGTTAGGTTGTTCAACATCAAATTCAGAAAAATAGCACACCGCAGTTTCTGCAGTGTAGAGTAAGTATGTTTTTATATTCGCTTTTATAGGTTATCAGCTTTTGTATTGCTAAAATGATATTTGATTTGCAAGGCAAATTTATTGCATTATCCTAAATTTGAATTAAATCACTTGAATCAGTCTTAAAAATGTGCATGGTCCATCTTCACCGTGTAATAACTCTCGGGGAGAGATATTTTACAAGTTATTCATTTTTCAAAGCTTAATAATCCTCAATATACACCATGGTGAAAAGTAATCAGACGTATAGCACTCCAGATAGTTGGAAGACGTCGGAATGTTGATTTAACGATAAAATGCAAACAGTGATTCAAGTGGTTAAAAAATAATTATTACTAGCATTGTTATCGTGCACACAACCGATAGAGATTTAAAGTATTCCAGCGTATTGGAAAATGACAAAAATTTTGATTGCAAGATTTCACTCTCGTAGACATGCATTGTCATCATGCACATAACCAATAGAGATTTAAAGTACTCCAGCGTATTGGAGATTTCACTCTCGTAGGCACGAAAGCGAAATAATAAAAACACTGTAGCAACAAGATGTTGTACTATTATATTTTCTCCTGGCTAGGTCGAAGTTTTCTAAGAATTTGTCTCAAGGTAAACGGTGCACCGGGTCATTCCGAGAGTCAGAGCAAACCAATGTCCAAATAAGCATTTAAAAATGCATTTCAATTCAGAAATAATTCTAGTTTTGTTCCTTGTGGTTAAGTAAAATTTTAAAACTTGTTAAACAATAATAAATCATCATAATATGTATTGTTGTTCTTGTTGGCATATGGCTGTTAAGGCAGAGGGGTATGATTGTTCTTGTTTTCCAGTGGCGCCATCTATGGCCGAAAATTCGAATAATAATAAGTATTAAAATAAATGATAAAAGCTATAACGTCATTATAAACCTGTTCTAAATAAGCAGTTATAAATACACTAAAATCTAGAAATAAATTAAATTGTTTTTTCCCCTTTGCGAATAGGTTAAACTTTGAAACTTAATAACAGTATTTAATAAAAGAAAATCACAATAAAATGAATTATGGAAGCCATACCTTCGAGCAAACCAATGCTAGATAAGCAGCTAGTAACGTGCACCAAATCAGAAATAATCCTAATTTTGTCATTTGCGTTAAGATTAAATTGCGAAACTTGGTATAATATTTTATCACGAAAATAAGCATACAATAAAATAAGAAAGCCATATCGTCAGTGAAAACCAATGCCAAATAAGCATTAAGAAAACCCATCCCAATACAGGATTGATTCTAATTTTATTATTTGCGGTTAAGGTTAAATTTTGAAACTTATTTAATGTTTAATCACTAAAATAAGAATAAAATTAATGATGAAAGTCACATTGTCAGTGCAACAGAGCCAAATAAGCATTCACAAAGCACCCCGATTGAGAAATGTTTATAATTTTGTCATTTGTGGCTACATTAAATTTTGAAACTCAATATAATAATAAATCAATAAAGCAAGTGCAAAATAATTTAACTTACTCTTTATGATTTCAATAAAGATGAATATCATCATTATGGTGACCGTCCAAGATGTAATGATATACTGAATCATCAAGATGAGAATATACGGGTAATTTGTGGTGGTATCTTTCGTCGTATCTTATGCTAGTTGCAAATCCATGGTCGCCATGACCATAATGGCCATGTCCATGTGTTGGATGAATTTGGACATCAAAATCATGATGCAAAAAGTCGATGCCTGAAGAAACTGCTACACAAAAGCATGCCGCTAGACAAAGTATCTAAAAGAAATAATTAATCTGTATTAATGCCACATAATCCACTTTTCAGAATTATTTTATAATTGTTTAGTTACAATTTGACACAATGATTAAGTGTTACATAGGTTATTACAATATGGTTCAAGTACGCTCAAATTTAAATTTTCTTTCAATTTTTGTTTAAAGGAAAAAAAATAATAAAAAAAATAGAACCAATGTAATGCACCCGAAGAAAAAATTTCTGGTCAAACTTCCACACTGTGTGGTAAAGAAATTTGTCGTAAAAAAAATCCCATAATTCTGGCTAATAAAACTAAAATATACAGTTTTTAAAACATTCATTTGGTAATTTTCCCGTTCATAATTTAATGGTTTACCAGAAATTCTGGTTTTCAAAATTGAATTTTTTATTGAAGAATTTTTTAATTCTTAAGAATTTTTTTAAGAATTTTTTTTTTACCAAACTTTATAATTTTTTATGAAACCATATTTTAATGTTAATTTTGCCAGAAAAAAAAATTGCCAAAGACTTCGGTAAAAATTACAAAGGTTTTTGATATTCCTATAGAGCCGGAGACTCGTCATCGTTTACCATACCTTGGTAGTTTTGACCATACTTTTTTCTCAGTGCATAGTTATATTCTTTAATGCAATGTTTTCCCTCCTTTTCGTGAGAATTTTCAATGGAAATTGATAAATATAATAGGTAATAAGGTGTTCCGTAACTTTAAAACTCTTCAGTCAAATTACAAATAAAAATATCTTTGAAAATTTTAGAATGCTTTTTAACTTTTAAAAAGTAATTTAGAATTATAAATTTCCTCAATTATTTTGTTTGAATCTCTCACAATTATGGAAGTCCATTGTGTCGTTAAATAGGAACATTATTGTTGGTGTTTAATTCTAATGCTAGTAATGATTTTTTATATTAAAAAATATATTTTAGATAATGTTTAAACTCATGAACTTACCAAAAAGTTCTGCATTCTAAAAACTTAAACCACCAAATCCCAAATGAAAACAAACACTCGTACTTAGCACTTATATACCAACTGAACAATTGTCCAAAGCACAATTATTCAGAACGATCTAATTTAGAGTAATACACCCTTTTCTCTCCCCCACAAAGACCCTCCCCTTTCTCACCCAGTAGTCCAATACTTCCGAAAAAGAAAAAATCAGGTTATATCATCGCAGGTAAAAGAAAAAAGAAACTAGATTCGTATTGCTTTTGAAGGTCTGTTCGAATCACAAAGGGGGGATCCAGAAACGTTCTGAAAAACCTTCCAATTCCTTTACTTTCTTATCTTAATAGGTCACGCTTCCAACACACGAATAACTTCCAACTCTCACTCACTAATTGATGGAGTTATTATTCTTTTTCAGAAACTTCAATTGTGCGTGATAAAGATTCATTAACTAACAAAAAGATCCATAAGTTAGAATTTGTTGATGGTTTACCTTGTTTATCCACTGTAGCTTGATGGTGGTAAATATCCAATGAATCCATTGGTCACTTTTTTTTGTCGGCCATTAATACGCAACTCGTGAGGTTAATCAGGGTTCAATGGAGGTAGCAATTGGTCAAATAGTAAAAATGCGACTTAATGGTTTTTCTATTTTTATCACGTAAATAGCGGCGATAAATGTTTTAATCCTCAAATAGACTAACTGTTAAAATTTTCAAGTCCTGTCAGTAATATTTTATAATACGAATATAAAAATAAGACTTTTTTAAAAATTAGATTTCTAAGAAACTGTTAGACCGATTTTTGCTTAAATTTCATATTTCGCCGTTTAAAATTATGTTCTTTAAAATTATGTTAAAAATTACATACCTTACAATTCAAAACTGTTTTGATAAGTATTAAATTAATTGATAAAAAATAATAAATATATAATAAAAGTCAATTTTTGCTTGGAATTTGCTTTGGCTAAATGAGTTTTATAATCGATTTTTCAATTTACTCAAAAGTTTCTTGAGATATGGTAAAATGCGCAAAAAGTAAAATTAATATTAAAGGGTCCAAACTTTTGACCGCTCTCACCAAACTATTGGAACCCTACTTCCCAGATTGCTGCTGCCCTCTATACTTTGAGGGCCAGAAATCATATTCCGTCGAAAAAAAGGGGATGTTTATTAAGAGAAAGTACGTTTTTGTGTTTGATTTCATCACTTAAAATATCGTCTGCACCAATTAATTAGCAAATTTGAGGCTACCTCCTCAAATTATTAAGATTGAATCCTAGGATGTGAAGACCCTATCGTTAGATTATAAATTATTTAGGGTAGCTGATTTAATTTTTTGCGCATTGTTTATTTATGGCATGATAGTCTTACTAGTGTCATAAATTTTAATCCGTTGATGCCCAAGCCACAATTTTTTAAAGTGTATATTCATATTAAACGTAGATAAATTAACTAAAAAATTACTGAGACATTACCTGAAACTGTTTTGTTCTATCTGTAGTAAAAATTGATTTGATAATCTGAAGGCATCATTTTGGATGGTCGAATGACCTATGGCCGAATGACCTATGGCCGAATGCCCAATGTCTTTGAAAGAAGCACTGCTACTGGCTGAGTATCGTGATGTGTTCTTGTAGCTCTCTCTGTCTCATTTTTAGAGAGAATTGAGGGTTCTATATAGACACAGCTATAGACCCCATCATGTTGAGCATTTTCTTGGATGTGAAGAAATTCGCCGGAGGGATAGGTCAGTCTTATTTCCAGACCTAAGTTCGATAGGAAATGTTTGAAACTACCTTAGCTGAAAATTTGAGTCATTCTCTACAATTCTTATATGAACTGAAAAAAGTTTTCCTTTTCCTCTTCGAGTCTTTGCTTTCCATTTCACATTTGACAACCTAATTGGCAGTATGGAAACTCGATGCATTGCAGTTAGGAGAGGGCAATAGGCACATTCGGGTGGATTCTGGAATAGCCCACCTCGTGGCGATTTTTTAAAATATCGGCCAAGCAAGTTTTTGAAATCTCGCTGAACTAGGATTCCCGAAGATATTTCGGGGAGATTATTTTGAACGTTCGATCACTTCACCATAATTCTTAAACTTGATTGGTTATTTGATATGTATACCTACGCGAAAGTTGGATTTCGTTAGAAAAGAGGTAAAAAGGTTTATTTTTTCGCCATTTATGCTTCTGATCTCTTGCTGTTAGAATCATCGTTGTTATTTCATTTTTTAACCGTTATTTCATTTATTACCGTTATTATTTCATTTGTTAGTTTTTTTGTGCGATACCAGTTGAAAATGGCAAGCGAATGGACGAGTGATTTTTATTTTTAATAATCAAAAAGCAACGGTGATCCTAGTAATAATCGCCAACTTGGCGAGATTTCAAAAAGTCGCCAAGATGTGGGCTATTTTAGGATTTTACTGGCACATTCATTACTGCAACCCATTTTTGCAATGTGTCTAAGATTACTTTCAAGACTATGAAGTACAACTTTTTTCTGAGAAGGGATTTTTAATTTTGCCGTGTTTGTTATAAATCATGGTTGCATTCGAACTTATCAAAATTTTTATGTAACAATCAAGAAAGAGCTGTTAAATGCAGATTTTCACTGTATGTCTAGCATCTATGCTTATTCATTTTCAAATTAGACAACAGAAATCGTATCAGCAGATAAATCTTTAGAGGGGAAGTGAATTTTAAAGACATCAGCAACAATCCAACTATCGTTCTTATAAAAACTTGATAGTTTAGTTAATCGCAATAGCCTGAAAAATTTTAGCATTCATAGTCACCTAGTATTTTTATTATTTATCGTCCCTTGTTATTTTTGGTACTTAGTTACATGATATTTTTAGTACTTTAAGTTACCCGACATTTTCAACGTTTTTAGCATTCGCGATCGCAACGCTTGAGTGCGCCCTCAAGCGGGAGCCTGAAAATATCAGGCATTTAGTTCAATCATAATCATTGGCAATGCATCATAATCATTGGCAAAGTCGGACGCCATTTTCTTAGTTGCAAATAAGACGCAAAATTTCCCTGAAGAAAAGGCAGAAGAACTTGAAAAAACGACCCAGTACATTGGTAAATCTTTCAGAAACAGAAAGCACTCAACATTTAAAGAAATTTCTCAATAATTTTCACTTTTCCATTATCAACAAACTTGCAACCGATAATTTCCATACTGTTACAGATGTGTGTATTGTGGTAAAATCCATTTTTTTTTGCCTTCAATTCATTACAAATTAAAGTGAAGTTAACGTTGCTTACTTCGTTCCAATGAACAAATGTAATTTCAGAACATGCGGAACTGTAATAGTTATAGAATAGTATATATTTATGAATCTATATAATTCTAAAAACAGCAAATAAAGAATTATCCGAATTACTTGAAATAATATCATTTATGCTGATTATTAATAAATTTTTATCGTTTTCTTGGTAAATATTTTTTAATTTTGAATGATAAATTTCAACTAGAATTCAGCTATTCTGTTTTTAAGTTACATATTGAAATTCATATCGAAATCTTGTAATTATAACATTTTATTGTGTGGTATATCCTCTAAAGTAATGAAGGGATAATCTATGTATATTTTATTTGAGAATAAAGTTTTCAAATGAAGAACATATCATTTTGGAATTCACTGGATTTATAGTAGGTAAGTATTACAATTTTTATAATAAAAAATTTTACTTGTAAATAATTTTTTTTCTTATTTGATGATAAGTTTCTATAGAATGGTTTTCTACGCCCGATTATGAATAAGAAGAAACATGAAAGTTTTTTTTATTTTAATGTGAGGAATTTTTAGAATCATTTTTTTGTTTCGTAAGCATTCCTTATTTGACGTTTTTTAGTTTATAAATAATGATTTTTACTGAAACTTAAAATGTTTCGATAAGAATTGTTGTCAAAAAACTTTTTTGCAAAATTAAATTACATTAAATTGTGAGCTTATGTATACTTTTTGCATATTTTAATGTTTGAAGTAATATGATTTTTAAAACTATGGAATGTAAAATTTAAATAGGCCTTTCGTGTTATATCACTAAATTTAGTAAAACTATTTCTCAGGCATTAGGTTTTAACTCTAATAAGATTATACATATTTTTTGTCCTGTTTATTTACAAATATTTTTTCGGTGTGTTTTGGATGTTCCTTCTCTAAGAAAAAAAAAGAGATACCATTTTGTTTTCACTTGCATAAGAAAGAATATCATACATTTTTCTTTTTTAAATTTAATAGGAACGTTACAATGCTACACTGAAGACATTTCCAGAGCAACTGAATGACTGTGTTCTTATGGAAATCGCAGGAATTCGTCTCATACAACAACGCCCCCTATAGTTCGCTGCAATCGCGAATTCTAATATTCGGAGCATCGGCACTAACTTAATATTCTGAATGAGTACCTGTCGTAACTTTATGTTTAAGTATCCAAAATAATCCGTTAAATTTAATAATTATAGCAATATTAGATTATTCCTTATTAATTGTAAATTAATTCAAATAGAAATTCAGGCTTGGATGCCAACCTTCCATCTTAGTTCACTGAAAAGACTATCGGGGTAGACTATATTTGAGAGGGCCCCTTGATTCTCACCAAGTTGTGATCGCGGCTGATTGCAAAGCTAAGCGATGTTGAAACCCAATTGTGATTCTGATTGGTTTAGATTTTAGCGTTATTTTCAAATGTTCAACGGTATATGTAATTTCAGAGGACCATTAGTTTTACGTTGGACACAGGATAGTAAGGTTACTTTTATTTCTGGTCAATAAGATCGAAGGTATGTGGGCAGTCATAAAAAGGGACTTAAGAAAAAAATGTCACCGCCAGTCCGGTACCACAGACGCCATTTTTGATTCATATTTCGCCGAATTTATGTGGCGATGGAGGTACACAGATTCTATTCTTGATAAATTTAGACAGTAACTTACTGCTACAAGAGAATTCTGTGCCTGAGGATATTCAAGCTTAATGAAGAAGTGAGCTGTTTTTATCCTTTTCTTTCGGTGCTTACTCCATTAATTTTTGTCTCGATTCAAAATGCATTTTATTGGGTTTATTAATTTTGCTTATATTGGGTTTATTG